GGACAAGTTCGAGGGCGTGGGTTTTTGAAGATGGCAAAAGAAAATGCATTTTCTCTTGACTTCTCTTGGTGTGGCATATGTTCTCACTACCCCAAAGCCATTGGAGGAGGAAAATGAGACATTGGAAAATACTAGAAAGAGGAATAAGTGGGAGAATGATGACTACATATGCCGTGGACACATTCTTAACGGTATGTCTGATGACTTGTTTGATGTATATCAATTTTATGAATCTGGTAAACTTCTTTGGGATGATTTAGAATCTAAGTATATGGCCGAGGATGCATCTAGCAAAAAGTTTCTTGTTAGTAATTTCAATAATTATAAAATGGTTGATAGTAGGCCGGTTATGGAACAATTTCATGAAATTCAAAGAATTTTAGGGAGTTTTAAACAACATGACATAAGTATGGATGAGACTTTTGTTGTATCTTCTATTATTGATAAATTGCCACCTTCTTGGAAAGACTTTAGAAACACTTTAAAGCATAGGAAGGATGAAATAAATGTTGAAGATTTGGGTTCCCATATTCGGATTGAAGAGGGAATCCGAATTCAAGATGGACAAAATGATGGAAATCCTAGTTCTATCATTAATATGGTAGAGGACTCTAAGTCAAATGACAAGAAAAGAGGAAATGACTCAAACAATAATAAAGGCAAGAAGCCTAAGGGTGATAGTGATGGTAAAAAATCACGTACTTGTTGGGTTTGTGGAAAACCCGGTCATTTTAAAAAGGATTGTACCATTTGGAAGAAAAAGATGAGCAAGAAAAGGACTCAAAGTGGGAAAGGCGAGTCAAGCCAATCTCAAGACAAGCAAGGTAACTCTTGTACACAAATTTCACTTAATTCATTTATGGATTATGTGTGTGTGATTTCTGAAATCCTATGTGTGCGGGATAATTGTTCGTGGTACATCGATTCAGGAGCATCGAGGCATGTATGCAAGGATCGTTCATTGTTCAAGACCTTTTTGGAGGTTGATGATGGAGAAATCCTATACATGGGAAATGATTCCATAACAAGGGTGTTAGGCAAAGGACAAGTAGAATTAATTTTTAGTTCGGGCAAATCTCTTATTTTAAGAGATGTGTTGTATGTTCCCGAGCTTAGGAGAAATCTTGTATCCGGTGCTATTTTGAATCGATTAGGATTTAAAATGGTGTTTGAGTCGGATAAATTTATTTTGTCTAAAGGTGGTATATTTGTAGGACTTGGTTATTTGTATGATGGAATGTTTAAATTAAGTATTTGTAATAATGTTAGGGATAATGTGTATGTTGTAAGTAATAACTCTTCTCTATGGCATTTTAGACTTGGACATGTTAATTACAAGAAGCTTTACTTTATGTCTAAGCATGAATTAATTCCATCATTTGATCCAAGGATAGAGAAGTGTAGAACATGCATGCTAACAAAAATTACAAGGAAACCATTTCCTAACAATGTAGAAAAGGATACTTCATTGCTTGATTTAGTGCATAGTGATTTATGTGACTTTCACAACACTCCTTCCTTAGGCAATAAGAATTATTTAGTAACTTTCATTGATGATTTTTCAAGATTTTGCTATGTATACTTATTGTTTTCTAAGGATGAAGCCCTTGACAAATTTAAAATCTACAAAAATGAAGTAGAGTTGCAAACAAATAAAAAGATCAAAAAGTTAAGAACCGATAAAGGAGGTGAATACAATAATCCAAGTTATTTCCCAATGTATAGGATTTGTACATGAAACAACCTCGGCATATACACCACAACCAAAATGGTGTAGCGGAAAGGAAGAATAGGACTTTACAAGAAATGGTTAATTCCATGTTATCCTATTCGGGTTTGAGTGATGGATTTTGGGGAGAAACGGTTTTAACAGCTTGTTACATTTTAAACCGAGTTCCTATGAAAAGAAACGAGGTTACCCCATATGAGCTATGGTACAAAAGGAAACCAAACTTGAGTCATCTCAAAGTTCGGGGTTGTAGGGCAATTGTAAAAGTGCCGGAACCTAAACGTAAAAAGTTAGGTGAAAGAGGAGTTGAATGCATTTTTATAGGATATGCGGAACATAGAAAATCCTATAGGTTTTATGTGATAGAACAAAATGACTTTTGGTCGGTTCATACCACCATAGAGTCAAAGGATGCATTGTTTGATGAAAATAGATATTCATCAATTCCTAGATCTAAGGATATTACTCCAAATACCAATGCTCAAGGTGCTGATCAAATTATATTTGATCAAGAGGAAGATGACCAAGCTCATTTAGAGGAGGCATCTTCATCATCATCTTCACTTGGGAGAAGTAAGAGGGCTAGGAAAGAAAAATCTTTTGGCCCAGATTTTCATGTGTACTTGATTGAGGGATCAAGAAACAATGTTTTGACACAATTTCCTTATATTTTAATGTGGAAGATGATCCTTCAACATTTGATGAGGCTATGAAGTCTCATGATGCTCCATTTTGGAAGGAAGCAATTAATGATGAGATGGATTCCATCATGGGAAACAATACTTGGGTATTAGCTAATTTACCTCCTAAATGTAAACCAATAGGGTGCAAATGGATCTTCAAAAAGAAATTGAGGATTGATGGAACTGTTGAAAAATTCAAAGCCCGGTTAGTGGCACAAGGTTTTACACAAAAGCCTGGTATTGATTATTTCGATACATATGCACCTGTTGCTAGAATCTCAACTATAAGGTTGTTGATAGCTCTTGCAGCTATCCATAATCTTGTGATCCATCAAATGGATGTCAAGACAACGTTCTTGAATGGAGATCTAGAAGAAGAGGTTTACATGCAACAACCGGAAGGGTTTGTTGTGGAAGGCCAAGAGCGAAAAGTTTGCAAGTTGATTAAATCTTTGTATAGGCTTAAGCAAGCACCTAAGAAATGGCATCAAAAGTTTGATGAGGTTGTGTTGTCTAATGGATTCAAGTTGAATAATTCAGACAAGTGTATATATAGTAAATTTAATGACAACGGTGAAGGTGTCGTAATTTGTCTATATGTAGATGACATGTTGATTTTTGGAACAAGTATGTCACAAGTTGAAATGACAAAGGAATTCCTTAGTTCAAAGTTTTCCATGAAAGACATGGGAGAGGCGGATGTCATCTTGGGCATAAGAATAAAGAAGGAAAAAGGGAAGTTGATCTTGTCACAATCTCATTATATTGAGAAAGTGATCAAGAAGTTCAATGTTAGTGAAAATTCTCTTTCTCTTTATTCAACGCCTATGGATCCTAGTGTAAACTTATTACCTAATGAAGGTAATGCAGTTTCACAACTGGAGTACGCAAGAGTAATAGGTTGTTTGATGTATGCCATGACAAGTACTAGACCGGATATTGCTTATGCAGTTGGTCAACTAAGTAGATATACTAGTAATCCTAGTATGCTACATTGGCAAGTCGTTCGACGTTTGTTGAAATACTTGAAGAAAACCATGGATTATGGTTTGTCTTATAGTGGATATCCCTCGGTTATAGAAGGATATTCGGATGCAAGTTGGATCTCTAATAAAGATCATTCCTCCACAAGTGGTTGGGTTTTCCTATATGGGGGAGGTGCTATCTCATGGGCTTCAAAGAAGAAAACTTGCATTGCGGACTCCACAATGACATCGGAGTTCATTGCTTTGCATTCAGCTGGTAAAGAAGCTGAATGGTTGAAGGATCTCATGTTTGAGATACCTTTGTTGGCAAAACCAATATCACCTATAGTGATACATTGTGATAATAATGCAACCTTGGCTAAGGCATATAGTCAAGTATATAATGGTAAGTCAAGGCACATTGGTGTAAGGCATAGTTACATTCAAAGACTTATCAAGGTTAGTATAATTACTATTGACTATGTTCGTACGAAGTTTAATCTCGCTGATTGCTTCACAAAAGCATTGGCAAGAGATGTTAATAATAAGAGGATGACAATCGTTTTAGGATTGGAGCCCTAAATAATTACAAATAAGGAAATCTTAACTTAACGCCCAATAAGACGTTGGGTCTTAAGTTCAATAAGATTAATTTCTTTATTGAGTGATTGGGAACTTGTATTCATCCTAGGTAAGTTCCAGTTTTACTGTGATGTAAAGAGGTTGTATTTCTTAATAGATTTTTGACAATTGTGCTTTGTCACAGGATCATGTTTATGAAAGATCTACCTATATAAGTACGAAGTTTAGCCGCTTCAAGAAGCTATTTGGGCATAGTTTTGAAGTACTTACGAAAAGATAGGGACACATGGCTTTACGTGTCAAGTATTAATGTAATCAAATAATTGATCTTGTGTGTGTAATATCTTCATGAATTCAATATGTATTGCTTTTGGTTCAAACGTTTACGATACCGATTGGATACGAATTCTTGGAATGTATATTGCACTAAGTGGAAGTTCAAGTCTTTGTACACTTTCATTTATGCATAAGATTGTTATTTATGATGATGATGTTTTTGCAATGTGTCTAGATTAATTCTCTAAATGGGGGAGGATTGTTGAATTATTTAGAGAATGGTAGACTAATTTCATGTTATTCAATTAATTTACTTAAGTTAAGGTGTTGTATTATTAATTAAATAAGTAATTAAAGCAAATAATCATAATTGACTGTTGTCTTCGGTTTTAATCGTATGGTTTGGATGTACAATGCTTTGTGTCATTTGGCTTGTATGGCCAAACAATACTAAGTGACGGTTGTGGCCAAACAATACTAATAAGTGACAGTTGCATGTGGTTGTAAGTTTCATTGTATTGTTTGGCTTTGGTATTATGCTTTATATATATGTTTAATAACATATGATGAGAGTTTTTCAAGAGATAAGTCATTTTTATTATTTTTCTTCTTGAATACTATTGCAAGTCACAATTATCATCATCATAATTCCTTAAAGTTTGTTTTACTCTAGATCACAAATATACTACACATAATTGTGATTGTTGTTCGTTGTATCTTCTAAGTGATTTCGTGATACCAGGGTTGTAGTTTAAGAGTCGAAATATTACTTTTGGGAAAGTGATTCCGTTCACGCCTCGAAGGTTATTATTGTTTAATTCCGATTTCTTCTTTGTGTCCCTTGTATTTTTAGTATTATCCCCAACAAAAGATAACATTGCCTTAGGTATTACTTTAATCATCAAAGCTGACAATAGTTTTTCACAAGTACAACTGAATGATGTAATATTGTAGAAGGAATGAAAATGAAAGAAATATAATGAATTGGTAAACATAAATCCTGTTACATGTTTGATCAAATTCTCATTTAAGCTTCTTTATTCTCCTTATTCTTCATAGACTCAAACCTCCCACTTTTCTCCGAAAACTTAGTACTCGAATAGAACTTCAAGTAGTCCTTAAAGCTGTAATTCTTAGGATATAACAGTTTTTCAGCTGGAGAAATGACTGCATCACCTGCAGGATTGTAAAATGTCGCAACAGACAGTCTGCTTCCACATTTTCCTGTCATAACGCGATGCAGAATACTCTGATACCTTCCGTTGCTAAGCACTTCGATCTGATCCCCTGTGTTGATAAAGATCGTGTTGTTTTTAGAAGGCGGTATCTTAAACCATTTTCCATCTTTGAAAAACTCGAGGCCTGGAACTTGATCATCTTGCAGTAACAGAATTATTCCGCCTGCATCAGTGTGCTCGCGCAGGCCTCTCACAAGTTCAGGGTTTGGACATTCAGGGTATTTCGCCACTTTTGTTCCTACTGCAGGGCCTTTGATTCCTGAGAATGTTTTCTTTATGTGGTCTTTTTCTAGTCCAAGATTTTCACACATTAGCTCGGATAGTTTTTCAGCAACCTTAACTAGCTGATCAACGTAAATCTCCATCGTTTTCCTGCAGATCATAAGCATAGATTTTACTAATTAGCTGATTCTGACAGATTCTGTTAAACTCACACTATGAAGAAATGAATTTGTATGAATATGTAGTTTATTTACTAACCGAAAATCTTTAGAGAAATCAGCAAAATTATTTATATTAGACTCGGGGGGATGCCAAACGAAGAAGCTGCTTTCCCAATCTCTGTTAGAAGCATTCTCCTTGTTCTCCAAAGCCTTGCTGATATCTGACTTGAAGAAGCCATCTTTCAACTTTTCTTCATAATAATTATTGATGAATTGCTTCACTTTCTCCAACAACTCCTTATCTATGCCATGATTTTCTATCTGAAAATTGTAACAATTCGTTATGATTGCACCTATTTTAATATATCAATTTAAATGATTGCGTAAATGAATCTATTTGCTTGCTCCCTCTGTCTTCTTCATGATATGACTTATTTGGGAGACAATCACCATACAAACAGGAACAATTTTTAAAGTTTGAGGGAGGATTATGTTTGGAACTCGTGTGTATCATTTTATGTTACAAAGTTAATTCACTTTACTTAAAGCAATTACTTGTTAATAAAACGATCTCTATTAAGTTTCATGACATTAGAATCTTGTTTAGTGAGTTTAGAATTATGTATTGTGTAATATAGACTCCATACATAACTAGTCAATAATTAATCGGGCATGTTTTCTAAACGAAAACTAACTCATATATTCATATTGTACCATCAATTCAACATTTTCCCATATAACATGCATATAATACACGCACAAAATTTAGGAACACATAAATTTTTGTACGATTTGAGAAAATAAAATAGCTATTTCTAACGAAATTATTCAAAAAGAAGACGATGACTTACTTGGAAAAAGCCCCATTTTTCACAGGCATGGTGTAAAAGTGCCATTGTTTCACCTCTTTTTTCACCTTCAAGCTCACCAAAGTTTATGGTTGGTATCTCCATTTTCTCTCTTTAATTATCTTATTAGTCCTAGAGATAATGAATTGACATATTGTAACTTTGAGGGGATGGCTATTTATAGGAATAAACAACCTTACTTTTTTTTATTATATTTTTTGTACTCCTTAATGTAAAATAACTTTTATATATAGTACTATAGTACTAAAAATGAACGCATAAATAATTTACTTATTTACCGTGATATTTGGGGTGTTAGATTCTGCGTTAAGGTAGTTACAATTAGAGCTGTCAAAAGCTGACCTAATTCGAAAAATTTACCCAAACGCGAAATGACCTGACCTGAAATCAACCCTACACCCGAATTAACCCGAGTTGAGACCCGAACCCGAACATGAACTAACCTGGAGATGACCCAACCCGAATATAACCCGTAAATTATTGACCTGAACCGAACCCGACCTGAAACGAGATTGACCCAAACCCGTTTTTACTCGTCAAAACTCGAATTTAGCCCAATTTGTTACTAACCCGACCTGAATTTAACCCGACCTATTACTAACCCGATCCGAATTTAACTTGACTTGTTACTAACCCCGACCCGAATTTAACTCGACCTATTATTAACCCGACCCAAAATTCAACCCGATCTATTACTAACCTGACCCGAAATCAACACGACTTGTTATTGACCGTACTCAAATTCAACCTGAATTGTTCCTAACCTATTTTGAACTCAACCTAACCTATTATTGGCCTCACCCGATTTCAAATCACCTGAAATTCAATTTAGACCCCATTATTAATATATAGTTATATAGTTACTTTGTCACTTGTGTAGTTGTGTGCTTGTGCAAACGAGTTACTATGATAAGTTCAATAGTCAATAGTTCAATACATACGACTCCTTACATAAACTAATTATAACTATTTGCTCATTTCTAATGGTTAGAATATATTTAGCATATATTTTCTAATTGTTGTATATATCTTTATTATTATAGATATCGACTAGCTAAATATATATATATATATATATATATATATATATATATATATATATATATATATATATATATATATATATATATATATATATATATATAATTAGAGAATATATGCAAAATATATTCTAAGCTGCTCGTAAAGTCGTAATTTCGTAAGGCTAAAACTACTCTATCTTAATAATGATCAAAGTATTTTGTCTTGAATGCAGGGAGAACATGCAAGTCGGTCCAACAAAAGAAAGAAGCATCATCCCCAAATTATTGACCCGGCCTGATTATAAACCGTAAATTATTGACTTGAACCGAACCGACTCAAACTCGAGAATGACCCAACTTGGATATGACCCGACCTGATTATAACCCGCAAATTATTGACCTGAACCGAAACTCGAACCCGAGAATGACCCGACCTGATTATAACCCGCAAATTATTGACTTGAACCGAACCCGACTCGAACCCGAGAATGACCCTAACTCGTGTTAACCCTTGAAAACCCGAATTAAACCCGACCTATAATTCACTTGACCCGAATGTAATCCGACCTAAATCCGATAAGATGTATGACCCGATGTGATCCGACTCAAGCATGACCCAACCCGAACCCGACCCGCATATACTACGACATTAACTTGCATTGACCCAATCCAAGCTGACCCGACTCACACTAACCTAATCCAAACCCGATCCGTTTACCCGAATTGACAGCTCTAGTTACAATGGTACTGTAAAAAATTGTTTCAAATTCAACTGTCACTTGGGTGACATCCTCCTTGTTCTACGTCTTTAAATTAACGTAATTGGTAATTCTACCAAACAAAATAATCCATTAAACTTTACCTAATACGTACGTTTATTATTTAATTAGTATTATGTTAGAAAGTCTAAGGTCATTTATTCAAATTTGTTGTCTATATTGCTAGCAAAATAAAACTTTGTTTTACCTTACTAATTAATTGAAAATTTTTGACAAAATTACAGTTATTCATAATTGGGTTGAATAGGTTATATCAATTGTAAGGTTGTACTATTTGTATATTTAACTTTATGACAAATAAGTTGTTAGAATATGTCTTGAAATAATTTGTCCCTAATCCCTATAAACAACCAAAGATCAAAGTCTTTAGATTCATAAAACATTGTATGCTCAGGGACGTAGCTAGCTAATCATGATTGATCTTAATCACAAAAATTTGAATGTATTTGTTTGTTCTTTGAATTTTTCTTGCGGTTGTTATAACACAAGTCACATTTGGATTCAGAATTTTGAAGTTATTGTCTGATGTGTTTGTAAGTTGTTTTAAAGTGATTGAGTAGTGTTATTTGTTTAACTTTTAATAGCCTAAATTAATATTTGTTTAATAATACAACAGAAATTAATGATCTATGGAAAGACTAATTAAGTAGCTTGTAAATTTCGGAATCATTGGACTAAAAAATCAAACGCACAAAATTAATTTCTGAACACGATTTCAAGATTAAAAAAAAAAAATTTAGCAATAATTTGGCCTAAAGCAATAGCCTTAACGTGTGACGACTTACTTTAGTTGATAGGTATAGAGGCACTTGAGTCATTTTCTTAATTCTTTAATTGCAACTAAGTCTAAATTTGTTAATTTGTGAATGTAGCCTAAAAAGTAAAACCACTCTTAAGTCAAAAACTGGGAGTCTCACTTCCAATGGGCATTATTATTGCAAATGAATTACAAAGTAGTTTCTTCATTCGGTTAAGTTTGACGTGGAAATAAGAGTTTGAGGATTATATTGATTATATACAGACATACAGTACCAATAATATTGAAACATAAATTGAAAATTTAATTAACAATCAGACATTTAATTTGAGTAATATAGTAGCAAACTTAAAGAGAAAGAATATATATATATATATATATATATATATATATATATATATATGTATATATATATATATATATATATATATATATATTTGCAAGAGAGTAATATATAATTTAGATAGTTAATAAAAATGAAAGCCTCAAAACTTAACTCAGTTGAGAAAAACATTTGTTCAAATCTTCTCACACAAGAACTACTATATTGAAAATTAATTTAAAAAACAAAATGTGAATCCTATATTCAATTGCTGATAAGAGTAATTAAAGTGGGAATATGTATCGAATTGAAAAAAAAAATACCCATCAACAATTCTCTATCCTCACTTAAATTTCTCTTAACTATCATCTTTTATATCAGGCTATCAACCTTATAGATATGTATTTTATACTCCCTATGTCTCACTTGTATTTAACAGTTATTATACTTCGTATTTACTTTGTCCCATATACTCCCTATGTCTCACTCGTATTTAAAAGTTATTATATTCACTTTGTCCCATACACTTTTCACACAAAAAGAAAAGCCCAATAATCACGAAAAAGGAAAAAAATAACCCACATGCAAACCCATAACCAAGGTTTAATAGAGTGATATCCACCCATAGATCAACCAACCGGACAAATTAAGAATGACCCCCAAATTTTTCTTACCAACCCCCAAACAAAAATTTTGAAACTTGAATAGAGAGTTAGGTCAAAATTCTAAATTCCATCCTCAAATCTTCAATACCAATTAAACCACCCCTCTAATCATTTTTTACTCATTATCCCTATTAAAGATAAAAAAATGTCAGAAATTTCAGTCTCTCTCAAATCCAATAATCGTTTTTTCTAAAGCATGTGCATAATATGACAATAATTTGGTTAGCCCATTGGGTCGGTTAAAAAAGTGAATCGCTAAACATCGCCCGCAAATTACCATATAAAGCCCACAAATATGACTTGGTGTGACCATTATGCCCATTTTCTAAAATTGAAATAATCTCGGTTTAAAAAATGTGGAGCCGTACTGGCTCGCCAGGGGAGACCGGAGGGCAGGCCGGAGATGCGGGGGACGCCGGAGGTACGTCGTCGTCGACGGAAAACGAGGTAAGTCACCGTTAAAATTCACGGTTTACCGTCGGAGTGGCTCTGGCGCCTAGGATGGACGCCCAAACCGTAGCCTGGACGTCCAAGCCAGACGCCAGAACCACCAGAGTGGCGTCCAGCCCAGACGCCCAGACCACCAGAGTGGCGTCCAGCCCAGACGCCCAGACCACCAGACTGGCGTCCTGGCCAGGCGCCACTCTACTGGCTGAGGCGGCCCTGCCAGGCGCCAGTCCAGTGGCTGTGGCAGCCCTGGCAGACGCCACCCTTATAAATTAATTTTTTTTTCTTTTTTGATTTTGTTGTTGTTTTTTATTTATTTATTTTTTTTTTTAAAAAAAATCGAAAATGATTTTTTAAAAAAATTCGAAATGGGTTTTTTTTAAATTAATTTTGAAAATTCGAAATAGGTTTTTTTAAAATTAAGTTTGAAAATTCGAAATGGTATATTTTTAAATTTAGTTTGAAAATTCGAATTGGGTTTTTATAAAAATTAAGTTTGATTATACATAATTATGCTTTTTTTGTGTTAATTCTGTGTAAATATAGAAATTAAATGTATTATCCGTTAAATGTATTTATTGTAATATATAATTGATGCAGGATTATGGTGGAGACGGAAATGATTACAGTGGGATATTTGGACATGATGGTCCATTCGAAGAAGCTCAACAGGCGATTGATTGGGCAAAACAGATTGCAATTGCAGCTGGATTTTGCTTGGTAGTAGTAACTCATAAATCTCAACGGGATGGTAGAATGGATCGCATTTTGAGATGTGACCGTTATCGCAAAAGAGAAGACAGAGATTTTCGTACAGCCACTCGGTTTGATACAAAGCGGAAAGGTTGTGGGTGTGAGTTCAGAGTAAAGGTTCGACAACTACGGAGTCGTGACGGTTGGGAAGTGATTGGTTACTCTAAATGGGGGTATCACAACCATGAGATGATAGTATATGAAGAGAGTCATCGACAGCTGAGCGGCTTAAGTCCTGCTGCGAAAGTAGTTGTGAAAGAAATGAGTGATGCTCAAGTCAAGCCTGCTAAAATATTAGCATCTGTGTTAGAGAAATTTCCAGAAGACCATCCAAACCGAAGACACATCTACAACGTCAGACAACAACTCAGGTTTGAACGGTCAGAGGGAAGGAACCCTATACAGCAGCTGCTACACCAGGCACAATCACGTGGTTACCTGTTCTGGTTTGATTCTGATGAAGATACAGCGGAGGTGACTCATCTTTTCCTTGTGCATCCTGATTGTGCTGATATGATCAAGTCTTGGCCATTTGTGATTTTGATCGA